CGTGTAACATCCTTGTGCATATGTTTCCAAAAACAGAGCGACACCAAAACGAACATAAGACTACAGACAAAAGCTAAAACAATCCTTGCATGTGCATGGTACATCGAGATTTCTGTCTTTTGTCCAGCCAGGGACGTTGATCCATGAAGACTGGCGATGCGCAGGGTTCAGCTCCAAAAACTCATCATGAGTGAACATGAATTGCAGGTAGGAAGCTCCGTCACTGAAGTCACCATAGCTCAGTTCTGGCAACTTCGAAGCAAGACAATGCTCACAGATGCTGTTGCAACTCCAGTTCCTCACCATTTTGTGAACCATCGCCCGAGCCTCCAGATCTGCTTTGAAAGCAGCGAAGCATGCACGCCAACCTCCGGCGAAGGGCTGGCCAGCTCTCTTCGATTCCAAACTGTTCGATGGCCAGGGAGCACCATCCCACTGAACGTCAGGAAACATACCTGTCATGAGCACGCGCATCACATAAGCGATAATGACCCCAACTTCGTCGTGGGTGTCAGGCTTCATCATTTCCTGTTCCCGGAACAAAAGGAATAACAGCTTCGTGTCGATCGAAGGCCCTTTGCGGGTGCAGCAGCCAAAACTATACACCCATGCTTTCTGCGACCGATACACCTTTACCCCGTCCACATGCCAGGAAAGCGGAATACAGTGCGGCCAGTCTTCCTCCCGAATCCCCAGTTTTGGGTAAAAGTCCAGGTGCTGCACATTTCGCCAATACTCCTCGTTGCAAGTAAAGGACTTCGATAGCCGGCTGCAAAACCCCTGAAACCAGCAGACCCTTCAGCTAAAACCCATCTACCTAAGCTAGTGTCCTTGATGTGGAAAGATGCACGTTCCGGCGGGTCATAAATCCAGGTGCCCAATTTGTCGTTGGTGTAGAGGTAATTGAGGATGTCCCAGGGCCAGAGAACCGCATGGTTTTTTCGTGTGCCACCCTCGTCGGTTTTCAAAGTGAGCTGTATTTGGCCAGGCTGAATTCGGCATCGCTGCTTGCACCACCTAGGGCCCAATTTGGAAGGCAGCTGATATAACGGGCAGTTATAAGCCTATGGTTTATAATCACTTAAAAATACAATGCGCGTGCGGCCACAGTACGTTTGAAAGGATCTTTCACCGTGTTCAGTCTTGCCCCATGAAGCCATAAGCTCCGCAAGGGGGCAAGTTGACCCATCCAGCAGCATAGCTGCTGCATCCCTGCAACCATCAGCCACCGTGAGCGCCTGAGGGGGAAGCGAAGGAGGTTCGGTCTCGCACACGACACAGAATCATGTTAAAGCATGCAAAGTTTCGCAACAACGCACCCCGGAGCAGATCTTCCTGAAAGTCCGCAATGAAGCAGCACCGGCATTCTGCACCGCCCACATCCCTGCATGAAAATCAGGCACAAAACTTTTGGTGTGATACATGTTTACCGACCCAAACTTGCCCCTGCATGCATGCCATATGCCTTCTCGACGTTTGGCTGCGTGTCGTACCGCTTGCAGTCTGGGTGCTGAGTGTGGCCGTCGATGGCCTGCAGCGGTCAGACTGTAGGCTTGCCTTATGTTTTTTGTTTGCGTAGGCGTCGTTCGAATTTATCGGGAATCGGTGATTTGATCCCATACAAAATCCCGTCTGGAGGAAGATTCTTACATTTTCCAATGCAGTTCTTCAGGGGTATATAAGTGGCCCGTAGAAACCTATATCACATATGCATGTATACGCTACACACTATCTTGTCACTTATAACCAGAGGAACTGCATTGGAAAAATATTTTGTAAGTCCTAGAGAGCTACGATCGTTCTTACGAGCCCCGGGGAGCCTCGGAGCTTCTGTTGCTGAGGGCTGAGGGTTGTTGCCTGGGCTTTTGGGTATACGGTTTAGTGGCTATATCAGATCGATCCGTCATCATACTTCAGCATCATCATCATATATTGTCATCATCATATCATCAGATTTCATGGTCATCATCGGCATCATCCAGGGACATTGGCTGCAGCAGGTAGCAGCGTCATTGGAGATCGATGCTGGCACCGCATCATCTTTTATGGGTCTCAGGTTCAGGTTTAAGTTGACGTAGCTTTTCAAGGTGTGGAATTGAATGATGACGATGATGATCCCTATAGTGCAGATATCGACCACTGAGGCTGGCCGGGGTGGATGATGGTGGCATGCATGGTGATGCAGGAATGCATGATGATTCTGATGATGATGTTACCTTTGCTGATCAGGATAGGACCACAGCCAATCCCATTCCAAAGACATTCACCCTACTCTGCGAACCCCAAATCCCAAAGACCTCCGAAACCCGAAAACCGTTAACCCCCGAGCTTAAACCCGATAAGCCTATAAGCCCCACTAGCTTCAAAGCCTCAAAGCTTCGAGCAGAGAACAGGAATAAGACTAGCCCAAAAAATAGTATTGCATACAAACAAGCGGAACCAGCTCCGCGGATCCATCCACTCAACCTAACAACCCTAAAAGCCCTAAGCCCCGAACCCTTAAATGACAAGCCCTTTCCCCGGGCCCAAGGTTTTCGCTTCTACGGGTATAGGTATAGGCTTTAGGGGATTTTGGCTTCGCAATGGGGTCTGGCTGCTATGGTTTCGGCCGAGGACTCTGAGAGCTGGAGGCAGCACCATTCGTGGTCCCAGCACGGGACCGAGAGCGAGATCTCGATGCAGACCTGACGGGGGGGAGGGCCGAAAGGATCTTAAGCTATAAGCGACCACAAAGATAGCTTTGCAGGCAGGCATCGATCATGCAGGGATTTTTGGCCACGCGTGAGTCGCGTGAGTTCACGATCGTTTCGGCACACAAACCTAAAGCAGCTCTGATTCTAGGCTTTGCACCCGGATTGCACCCCTTGCTGCTGTGGAAGCCACAGCTGGCGCAATCCCATGTACAACCGGGGTGATCTAGACCTTTCCTCGGACTGCTATGCCTGCGTGTTCGGATGTACGATAAGTTAAAATCATCGCTTGGGTCAGCCGGCATTCGAGGTCGAGGGAGCAGAAGTTGTTGCTAAAGTCAGTGCACCTTTCAACCCGAAGCCTCAAAATCCCAGGCCCTATACTTTCCGTCGACCTCACTTAGCCGACCCAGGCGACTGCGCTGTGGCAGTGCCGTTCGCGACAGCCTTTGCTTTGGCCTTGGGCTTGACAGTGCTGGCTCGAACCAGGGCTTTAGCCAAAGAGATTCTTTGTTCGGCCACCTTACTCAGATCGTCAGCCTCCAGGGATGAAGGCTTTCTGGGGTTAGGTTTTGGGGTTTAGGGTTTATACAGCTTCGGCCGGGTGTATTAAAGAGGGGTTGGGGTTTGGGGATGCCCAGGTGAGCTTTGTGGGGTTTAGGTCATTTTGGGGCTTCTGGCTTATAGACTTAAGGGTGTATAAAATATGTAGGGGCTGGGTTTGGGGATGCTGAGGTGAGTTTTCTAGAGTTCAGGGTGATTAATTATAAGGGTTGAGGATGCTCAGGTGAGATTGAAACATCTTTTGAGTTGCTACGGATTAGGGGTCTCCGGCCGCTGACCTCCTTGCACACGTGCACATAGTACTTGTTCTTGTTCTTCTTCTTGTTCGTCAGCTGCTGGATCCGAGCCGCCACATCTGTCAGCTTCGCGCTGACTTCTTCCAACTGCTTGATGAGGGTTGAGCTCATTTGGATGGGGCGTAGCTTGAAGGCCCAGGTCCTTGTTCAACCATGCAGGAAGCAGTTCTAGATCTTATGAGTATCAGCACACAATGTCACTTCGATCAACACGATAAGTCTCAGGCGTACAGTCGCCCGAATCTTTCAATGTTTTGCTCATGCGGGCTTCGGCTTTTTGCAATGGGGTCTTGGGCTCCACCTTCAGCGGCGCAGACATACTGTGCAAAGAATAACAAACACCCGAAACTTCTGCAAGACAACCCGGATAAGCGATAAGCCTGCCTTTTTTTCAGCCTCCGGTGTGGTATTGCTCTTCTGGTTCTTGTTGTTTTTCTTGGGTGTCACTGTGCAATTGCCCGCGGCTCTTTGCATCAACTGACCCCCGTTGAGCGGAGCTCCGGAGCCAAAGTCCACGAGCTTCAGGCCCATGGCGGGATCGAGGATGCCACCGCCCTGCCGGACTATGTCAACGAGCCGCTTTCGGGGGTTGAAGGTTTTGGGTTTTCTAGGTATATACTGGATATAGAGAGAGATATGTATATACGTAACATATATATATATATATATATTAGAAGCTGCACCCACCCTGTAATACTGGTATAATAGGAATATAATAGGGCCCTCATATAATCCTATATAATCCTTATGGTCACTATTACAGGGTGGGGGCAGCTTCTAATATATATATATATATATATATATGTCGATCACGGTTAGGGTCCTGTATTAGATAGACCGAAGAAATAATACGATTGCAGTTGCTGGGATTAGGGCCGGGATTCTGCTTGAGGCTATTAAGCCCCGAATAGACAGAGTTAATCGTAACCATAAGTTCAGATCCAGTCTCTAATCCCTCTTATAAATCGACCTGAAATTCGGCTTGAGGCTAAGACTGCCCGTGGAATTTCCGTCATTCGGCCAGAAAAGCAATAGGTGTGAGATAGGCTTTAAGGTTTACACAGGGTTTAGGGTTTAAGTTGATGCTCGAAAGATCTACCTTATGGATTCTTATGCCGTCGACACTACCGTCGAAACCTTAAGGGTGTGTGTGCCTTCACGAACTCTTTCAAACCTTCCTTGTCGATCCCACCCTTCATCTCCAGCTGGGTAATCCTTGCAACCTCCTGGATGTTAGCGAAATCCATCTCCAGCATCACGAAGTAAAGCATTTCCCCACTGTCAGGAGGGAGCTCAGGATCAGGAATCGTCCTGATTTGGGGCCAAGGGTGTTGGAGGGGATTGATAATTCAGGCTAGCTGGGGTCTTTGTGCGTATCATAATACGTGCATGCATGCAAGCCGGCATAACGTACCACGGGGTCAGTTTTCCTATTCAACCTGCGACCCGCGAAGGCAGGCAAAGTACCTAGGGTGTATACAGACGATTTAGGGTTTCTGGTTTCGGAATAGATCGGGTTATGCTGGTATTAAGCCGAAGTCTACGGTGAAAGAATCCCAGCAGCCCAGAAATCATCCCGAGCCGCGTTTCCTAGTCATAAGAAATCGCAATTGCAGATCCCCCATAAGCCAACCCACGACAAATTGCATAAGAGTGTCAAGCCCAGCGCCTTCTTGCGCTCAATCAGCTTCTCTGCTTTCCGATCGCCGTGGCGATCCTGAAGCCACTTCTCCGGGCGGAAGCCCCACTTCACGGTTGATGACTCCTTGTCCTCCACACGGGCTTCAAACCTTAGCACGGTTTGCTCCGTATCTCCATCGCACTCGAGGTAGTCCGCGAAGAGCTTGCAACGCCCGTCCTGTATGTAGCATCAGACATGCATGCATACATGCATATTACATACACTGTATACACGTAAATATATGCACACATATACACATGTGCATATATACATACATACATGCATACGTATACATGAATCTACAGACAAAAAGGAGTCTGCCTGCGCGTACATATTTAATTTGTATGTATCAGTACTGCGGTGTGCAACACAGACACATGCATGCATGCACCTATATACCCCCCCATATGATATCAAGATAAATAGTTACGTATATATGACTGCAAGAAATCGACGGCATATGTGTGCACATGCATGTGTGTGTGGCATCTAAACTATATGTCAACGCTTTGATTCATGAAGCTGTCCTGGGTCTGAACCGTGCTCAGAAGCTTTGCTGGAAACCTCTTTTTGGATTTCGTCCATCTCTTGAAGCGCATGTACTCTTTCCTGTGGCTGGAGCTGTTGGGCACGGCCAAGGCTTTTTTCTCAGCGCTGGCCAAACCGCCTTTCTCGTCCTCCTCCGCTTCCTGGTCGGACGACGCCTCCCTGTCCTTGCTTGCCTTTTTCTCCTTCTTGTCCTTCTTCTCACCGTCCTTGCGAGGCTTCTCCTCTTTTGTGGCCTCCTTGTCGCCCTGTTTGTTTCGCTTCTCCTCTTTGGTCGTCAGCTTCTCAGCAGTCTTGTCTCGCTTGCCGTCTTGGGTGGTGTCCTCGCTCGTCTTGTCTCGCTTGCCGTCTTTGGTGGTCCCCTTCTCGGCAGTCTTGTGTCGCTTCTCCTCTTTGGTGGTCTCGGCAATCTTGTGTCGCTTCTCCTCTTTGGTGGTCTCCTTCTCGGCCGTCTTGTGTCGCTTCTCGTCGGCGGTGGTCTGCTTCTCGGCAGTCTTGTGTCGCGTCTCCTCCTTGGTGGTCTCGGTCGTTGTGCGTCGCTTGTCGCCGTCGATCGTCTCCCGATGGGACTGCTTCTGTCGTTTTTCCTCTTTGGTCTTCTCCTTCTCGGTCGTCTTTCTGGGCTTCCTGTTCGCCTCGGCTTCGCTCTCGGACTCGCTGTCGTCGCTGGCTGCAGCAGCAGCCGTCTTGATTTTTTTGGCCTAGGCTCGTGAATACTAGTATCATAGTGCAGGAGGATTACACCGGTTTATTGCACGTCCATTCCCAGACGGGGTGCATAGCCGTTAACCGACACGGGAGTGGGGGTTTAAATATACACAGGACCTCCAAGCTTCAGCAGTTTAGCTTCTCCCGGGCTTAAAGAGGAAAAACTTTTCCGAAAGGAATCTTTCTGTCAGGCTGCATGGGGCTTCTCGGGAGATCCACGCGCATGGGCTTTGGTGCCGCGGGGCGTCGTCGGCTCGATGTCGTCCTAGACAGTGATCGAAAAATTTAGGGGGCGAAGAAATCGTGGGAACAGAGAGATTCCATGGAAGAGTTTAGGGACGGCCAAGAGTGGGGAGAGAGAGTGGGGAGAGGGTTAGAGAAAGACAGAAAAAGACTCGGGAAGAGAGAGATAAAGTTAATCCAAAAGACACAGGTAATTTTATTTGTATATATATATATATAATGTATAAGATCCAGGTATGTCTGCTCGGAGCACGATTGAACAGGAAGAGCGAAAGCCTAAATGAGTGGATCTATACGCAAAAGCTAGCCCGGCCTCCTCGGAGCTCGGTGGCTCTGAGCCGGAAGTTAAGCCTTCATCAGAATCCAACGCGCTGCTCGAGCATTCGGACTCGTCGATCTCGCTGCCATCCGTCGTATCCCCGGGCTCGCTTGCTCCCGATTCTGCTGCCGGTGCCGAATCCACTTCGGAATCCTTTGCTGGATCCTCCTGCTCGCTCGCCTCGCCATTCGATCTTTGCTCTTCATCCTCACTTTCCTCTGAAGATTCATCCTCAGAGCAGGCTTGCTCCTCATCCGGTTCGCTCGCGCTTTCGCCCTCATCGTCGTTGTCATTCGTCTGCGCTTGCTGCTGCTGTTGCCACTGCAGGATGATGTTGTCGGCATCCTCGTCCGAAATCGTCTTCTTCTTGTTGTTGGCCTCTTGAGATGACCAGTACGATCCAGGTTTCATCCAGCGACGGATGTTGTTGACCGGATATACCTCTAGAGATATACCATGCATGGTACATACATATGATATCAGGAAAGCACTGCCGGCAGCGCGCCTTGTTCTCATACATAACTTCGGCCTAGCGGTACTATGTCACAGAATATAGATATGCTCACTCATGTGCATGCACACATAATGTTGAAATCGTCATAGGATATCGTGCCTGCTTGGCTTTGGCTGCGACAGCATCAGCCTGACAGAAACTTAATGGTTTTATGCTTTGTAGATTGTATATCGCACAATGCAGAAAAGCTGAACCTTGTCTTTCTTGCTCTTGTCAGCCTAGCATGAAAACTGTCGATTGCACATGACACTGCAGCAGCTGCCGGCAACAATAATGCAAGGCCCACCCAGGCTTGGTGGTCTTTGGCAGGCTGCTCCTGCAACAATGTTTCCCAAACCAAATTACAAAGTGAAATGATTCCGAATCGACATCATGCATGCACGTCTGCCTCGTCTCGGCTTTGGGCTTCGCGACTCGCAGCTTTCATTGCTTTCTTCTCCATTTTCTCTTGCTTTCGGCTCGCCTTCTTATCCTCTTTCTTCTGCTCCCGCGTGCGAGCGTCCTCGCACGATCTAACAGGCCCCTCTCTCTCGGTCTCATGTGCACATGTACATATACATATACATATACATATATATATATATATATATGTATGTGTGTGAGTGTGTGTGCGCGCGTGTGCGTGTGTGTGTGTGTGTGTGTTTTACGTATGTACTATATATATATATATATATATAGGTTAGGATTTCCCACATGGTGGAAACACATGCACACACACACACACGAAGATCTATACATAAACATATATATATGTATAGAGTCCGGGGGACTCCAGTTTTGTATATATATATATATACATATGTATGTATGTAGGTATATGTATGTACATAGATACATACACAGACATATAGTATATATATATGTATAATAATAGAGCATATTATAGGCACCTTGGTCGTCTCTGCCGCCGTGTGCTTCTCGTCCTGGATCGGGGGCAATTAAACAGGTAGACCGTGAAGGTTACGGATTAATGGGCCAAGGGGTGTTAGGGTTTCGGACTCACAAATGCACGTGTTGAGTGTAATGCAACGACCATACGAGCTCCTAGGCTGATATATATATATATATATATATATATATATATATCGCTCCCGGTCGGGCCTCGCTGGACTCGTTGCCCTGGGCTACCTTGATAGCCTCAAGAACTTCCCTCGCACGTTCGGGGCTCATCTTCGTCTTCGGGGTGTTGCTGGCTTCGATCGAGTGCACCGTCGGTGTCCCAAAGCTAAGCTTCTTAGCAATCTTATCCACAGAGGGCGATCTTTTCAAGATCCCTGGGGAGCTCGCCGTCGTTGAGCTTGCCGAAGCTAGCCCCTCCACAGCTTTCAACTCGGCCTTCGCCTTTTTCAGCTTTCGAGGGTTGGGGCTCTTCAGCATGCCGGGATTCTTGTCTCCTGCATCGGTCTCCACGGTCGCCTTCTGTCGTATGCGCTTGCTCGGCACAGCCATATCGTGGTGGAATTCGCGAGGAATACCAACTGCACTTGAAAAACCTGGGCCACAAATGGCCGCCTTCGATGAAGCAATGGACCTCTGTAAGTAAACATCCTCGCCTATAGGTGCATCCGATCGACCGAGGAAGCCAGCAGCACATGTTTTGTAGCTTCGAAAGGCTTTTAGCTAAGTCTTCGGCCGCAAATTCGGGTCGATGTGCTGCTAAAACAACACTTAACCCGACCCAAGTGAAGCAAATTGAGTCCAATTCGGTCCAAATCCAAAACCGTGAATTTTCACGCCTTTTCACGCTACTTTCACGCTATTTTCACGCTTTCACGCTTTTGCCTGGTTATGCTATAATCTTAAGGTTTGCACCTTGATTTCGACCGAATTCCCTCCGAAATGCAAAACCTGTTGCATCCATCAAGCGAGCTCCCGGATCACACTTCTGAGATCGGCCTTTCTCGCCCATCCGATGTCCTGCAGACAGAGAACTGAAGCTTTGGTTGAACTAGGTGCTGAATTTCCCAGACTAAACCTACCTTTGTATGCCAGGACACGCGGTGCAGTATGCGTTATAAGGTTAGGTGTTGTTACATGGGATCCTCGAGGTTCTTATTCGGGCCTATAGAGGTATAACATGCCTGCATACACCGAGTTGAGGGTTCCAATTGTTCACGGGGCTTGTAAGGCATCGTACCGAAACCAATCCCGGAGTTCGACAAGACCAAAGCACTTATCCCGGCCGAAGCTCGCAGAAGCATAGATTTTAAAACCCGAAATTGAGCCCCAAACCTAACCCGGTGTACACTAAACCCTAGAACTACTTAACCTATATATACAGCACAAGATCCGAGAACTCGCGCGAGAGAACACGTGAAAGCGTGAACCCGTGAATCCGTGAATGGGATAGACCCAGGGAACCCGTGAATCCGTGAATGCGATTCAACCAAAGAACCCGTGAATCCGTGAATAGTGACAAGAGAACCCGTGAATCCGTGAATGCAATGAACCAGGGAACCCGTGAATCCGTGAATACAGACAAGGGAACCCGTGAATGTGTGAATTGCATGAACCCGGCTCCGTGATTTCACGATTAAGATAAAGAACTCGATCTGGAGTATCATATATATATATAATTAGAATATACATATATATATAATATTATAATACAATATATATCATACATAATCTGGTATAATATAATATATTATCATATATAATAGAATATGTATTTAAAGACAATATATATATATATATATTACAGGAAATTAATGCATGACTCGATCAACCGGTGCCCTGAAAACTATACTTCAACCCTCGGCCAATAGTTTACCATGGTGTCGCACGTGTTGATTCGTGCCCCCGGACTATAATCTATAGGTTTGCTCTGCCGTTAACCTATATATACCCATGGCTCAAAGTTGTGTAGACAAGCCTATCCATACAACGATCGACACCAGTAGTGTACTATAGCAACTAGCAAGGCCACGCGGTGCTATAGGCAACTAGTTCTGGTAGCAGTGGCAGCGGCAGCGGCAGTAGTTATATATGTAGTGGCGGTAGCATAAACTCGGTACATTATGTTACATATATATGATGCGCGCATGCACATGAAGACGTCGTCGTTCACAGATCCAGGCAACCATGCTGTCGTCCAACGATTTGTTGCAACTTGCACAGTGGCCTGCGCAATCTTGCAGCGGCCTCCGTCGGGGACTTTCAAGTATTCGTATAGGTAGCAGTAGCAGTAGCAGTAGCAGTAGCAGTAGGAGTAGTAGTAGTAGTAGTAGTAGTAGTAGTAGTAGTAGTAGTAATAGTAGTAGTAGTAGTAGTAGTAGTAGTAGTAGTAGTAGTAGTAGTAGCAGTATACTATAGTAGTAGTAGTAGGAGTAGGAGTAGGAGTGGGCAGAAGCAGAAGCAGCAGGAATAGGACTAGTCATATTCGTATTAGCAGTACCAGTATCATGTAGCAGCAGCAGTATAGCTATAGGAGTAGTCCTAGTAGCAGTAGCACAAGCAGCAGCAGGAATACAAGTAGTAATCATAGTGACATATAGTGTGGCAGTGGCAGCGGCAGTAGCAGCAGTAGTAGTAGTACTGCTACTAGTACAAATAGTAGTAGGTAGTAGAAGTAGCAGCAGTCGTAGTAGTAGTAGTAGTAGTAGTAGTAGTAGTAGCAGTAGCAGTGGTAGTAGTAGTAGTAGTAGCAGTAGTAGTAGTAGTAGTAGTAGTAGCTAGTACTAGTGCTATAAATTACTAGTACTAGTTAATAGATAATCGTACACATATACAGAGAGCTCCAGAGGCTGGAAAGAGAGAGAGCGAGCGAGAGAGAGAGAGAGATAGAGACAAAACCTGGAAGAGATAGAGATGGAGACGGGGTAGACCCATCGCTCGATTCCCTGTTTTGCAATCGCATCGTATAAGTTCGCCGACAGCTAAACTCTGAGACCGCCAGGAATGATTCAGTCCATACTCTCAAAATCGAACTGATCCTCGTGATTTGTTTCTTCGGGCCACTGCTCGTTCCAGGGGTGAGATTCCAGACTGAGACAGGCCTCCTCTCTGATTCCATCAGTGTTAATCTCGGAGTCATTCCCCAATGCGATGGGAGCCATGTGTTCTACATTCCCTTGTGACGAAGTCCCTGCTTGGGAGCTCGAAGCCCCCGTACTAAGTTGATCTCCTCGGTTCATAGGATCAGCCGCCGTCACAGAAACCTCACGTTGATATGTACGAGACTGACAACGGCGTGAGTGCACACGTCCCCGGCTCTCGAAACATGTAGAGCAGCAGCAACTGAAGCCCACACCGGCTGTGCGGTTGCATTGTGTCGTGTAGCATTCGCACTCAGTGTACCGCATCTCATTTTGGTAGATGTTCCGCAGGCGGCGCTGCATATGCAAGCATCGTCTTGTATGGTCTCGTCCACGTGTGCTACGGCATGCAGTACAACAGTGTCTGTGACCGTTGACAGCATAGCGTAGACGACAGGTCGGAGTAGAACAGTATGCCCAGTCAACATCTCCAGCCGAGGCCATGGCCAAAGAAGCTAGCGGGGGCACACACTCCCCAGTATTGGCAGCTAGATTTAGTTTTGCTACTATTTCCAGTACATACTACATAGTACCATGTTTGACTATTGCTACTACTACTACTACTCCTCCTACTTCTATGAGCTACTATACAACTGCTACTACTAGTACTAGTACTACTGCTGCTACTACTACTGTTACTACTGCTACTACTAGTACTACTACGTACTACTACTACGTACTACTACTATACGTACTACTACTACGTACTACTACGTACTACTACTACTTCTACTACTACTACTACTACTACTACTACTAGTACTAGTACTAGTACTAGTACTAGTACTCGTACTAGTACTAATACTGCTACGACTACTACTACTACTACTACTACTACTACTACTACTACTACTACTACTGGTACTACTATACACATAAGTTGGGAGTATACTAACAGTTGCACATCATACATGCAAGCAAACACAAACATGTTCATTCATAGTCCTTAAGCCATGATAGAGGAGCGTTCACATGCATCCAGGCTACTAGCGAGCGAGGCATCTGAATTCTCGAACCCCTTCCCTGCCCACAGTCCTTGACTTCGCGAGCCTTCTTGTGCGCGAGGTTCGTCCTGGAAGCTAGGATCGATTTGTGCATGCATACCTCAAAGCACACCCGCAAAGAACATGAATTGAGACTAGGGGCCGTTTCTCTTGAATGCAGCTCGCTATTTCGTCCTGCCGTTGCACGAAATGCAAATTTGAGGGTGTATGCTGAAACTCTTCAATCACTATTATTGCATGATCCTTCTTGCTGATGAAGAGCTCAGCCACAGCTCTCCCGAACATAGTAGGATAATGTTGTGAAAGTTTCAGGTCGTGGGAACCCGTCACCTTCTCCACATGGCCATCTCGAGTCCTGCTTGGGTTCCGTTTTTTAACACGCGACATGCACTCCGGATCCTGCCTCGTTACCATATCCGCTTCCCACACCGCATTGGCTGGGAGTGGTAGCTGCAATTGTCCCACGAATCGGTAATTGCTGTAAAGGACCGTAGGTTTGGGACCTTGCATACTTCGCAACTGACATAAATTGTAAACACAGCAGCTTCTCTAGAACCGCCGCAGAATCTCAGATGCCTACTGGTACCTCCATAGGAGCCCAGCCACACGAAGGCCTGTCAACATGGCTGGTACAACCGTGAAGAATCCACATGCATGACCCATGCATGCAGCCTAGCCTTCCAAACATCGAAGCGGTCACACAACCATTGGTAGCTGGGGGCCAACTCCAACAAACTCGATTGAGGTTGTTCCACACACCACGGCACACCAAGCTCCGACAGGAAGTACAGTAGGATGACCAATCGATTCACCATGATATTCCTTGGGTGCACCGCTGGAAAGCTTCGGAGACGAGGGTTTGTTGCTGCAGAAAATGGTATTGAGGGCTTCGATCAGGGTTTGTGGAAGTCTTTAGAGATAAATGTTTTTTGTTGGGCTTTGTTTCCGGACTCTGTGGGCTCAGGGGGGACTAGAGCGGCCTTAAGGGTTATAGGTTTTAGATGAAGCGGCTTGGGCTTAATTTAAGTTCGTTTCAGTCACCTTAATCGCATGCACCAAAGCAATTACACGAGCATGGTCCAAAACCTACGTTCGGCAGGTCTCTGCATGCAAACCCTTTTTCGGCAGAGGCTTTCCCCGGAAGCGCCGAGTAGCGAGAAACACATGATGTTTCGTGATCGGTTAGATTTAAAGTCTATCAAAACTGCTGCACAGCTATAGTGCAGGCCCCCTGTGCTGCGACCCAGCATGGCCCCTAAGATCACTCGTCCTCCAAGCCGATAGCTTTCTTCACAGCCACCCATGCAGTCTGCACATCGTCTTGAAAGGATATCCTGAGCATACGCTGTTCTGTAGCATGCATGGGAACGGCCAATCATTTCGATTAGATTAGTTCTGCCTAGAAACG